AAATTCGTGTGAGACATCTCACAATACTATCTACTATTCGTTGGTGGTGAAGCGGACAGCCAGAACACATAATCTACTCGAAGTCAATGGTGCTCTTGATGGCAGCTGTGATATGCTGCTCCACTAAATTCAAGTGGTAAGCCTCTGTCATTATAGACTCTATCAGAGCTACAGCAGTACCAACAGTCTTCACCAGCTTCTCAGAAGGATAGGTGAGACTGTTCTGTATCACTGCACTACTTGAAATGAATAAAGACATTGGCTGATAGCAACACTTCAGATGTCAGGCATGTCTTGCATGCATCACAGCTGACACAATGAAGCCCCTGTCTGGCAATGGAACCACTGACATCAGCTACTGAGAGCACTTCCATGTCACCAGCAGGTACTGCAGGACTCATGTCCATCTGTACTTGCTGAGCAACATGGAAACTCTCAGGCACACCAGCAGGGGTTTCCTTGTCATGACTTGTGGAAGGATTTCGTGAGGCAGCTTCAGGTGCCCTGAATAGCGATTGTAGATTATCCAGAAGAGTAGCACCATCATCCTCACAATTAGTTTCCCCCAGTCCTCTAAATGCAAGGCCATTGATGATGCTAGTCTTCAGGGCATCTACAAACTGTCCCCCAGTTGGGTTATTGTTTGAACCACAGTTCAAACGAATAGCTCCAAATGTGTTCTCCAGGGGATCCTGATTCAGGTTTTGGGTGTGAAGGTACTCAAAACCCACCTCTTTCTTTGTCCTCCACACATGCTGGGCAGCAGTGATGTCAATCAGCCACCCATTCTGTGAAGGAGGAGGATGAAATAAGGTAGGTTTGCCATCCTTGAGGAAGATCCAACACTTTATCCCCATACTTGCCTTTTTCCAGAGCTCTATATGGGGACGGTTATGACTGAGTGGGCAACGCAATGTTTTCCCTCGGCCAACACTTGTTCCACCATTGAAACTATCAAAGAGATTGTCAACCTCCTCAACAAACACAGCTGTTGCCATGTATTCGCTGCTCCACCAACCTGAATGGGGGGGGGGACAGACCTTAGTGTGCCTCATTACGTGGTGAATTATAGTTTCTTTACATTGGAAATTAACACATTACTTTAAAAGGTTTGTACATTTCATTACATTATCCCTCATATTAAAATCTTTGCCACCTAATTCACCTTAATTATATCACTGATAGTGTCGACTGTCTTTCAAATATTTCTTAATTATCCTAAAAACAGTATTTGTGACATATTCTACATAACTTGTATATTGATATACAGTTTCAGAAGTCAATTCAAGTCAGACGATAATAACGTTTGTTTGATTACAACTGGGTTCTGGGGCAGTAGCTTTGAAAAGTAGTCCTCATTATTAGTCACTTCATTCATAAAAGAAACATATAGTCCTTACATGTAGCCACTAGAGCATTGAGGTTTGCTGCAAGAGTATGGCTCATGACCTGTGCAGCCAAGCGCACATTCATTTAGCTCTGTGCTGTGGGGTTCCGGTGAGTGTCTGTCAGCCTATACAACAGGCGAAACGGTCTAGTTTTGTCGATTTCATACAGTTTCAAAATGTGGTCCCACTTAGGAATAACAGGAAATTGGGTGTCCACAAGTTCCGACTTCAACTGCAAATCATGTTTCAGGAAAAGTTTCCGGGTGCACTTCAGAAGGTGGGGTGGATCATACACTGTTGCAGTTTCTTGATTGCGAAATCTGAAGAGTGGTTTCCTCCTGGAAGCACCCAACAATTTCAAGGCCTTGGCATTGTTGACACCCATGTCGCACACAGTGGCAACCAACTTCAGGCCAGCATTCTGACAGGCGTCAAGAACCCCCTTCAAGTATTGCACAATCATCTCTTCCTTTGTGCTGCCTCGAGTAAAGTATTAAGCCACTGGCTGCTTCCACTTTCTCCACAGGCCACGGATCATGAAGAGCAGAACATGATTTGCATTGCTGCAAATCCTGCCCTGACTTCCACAATCCTCAAAACCCTAAATGCAGTCAAACTTCTGATTGAAATGCAAGTTCTCTCTGATTGACATTTCATCAAACATGAGACAACAATATCGATCTCTACCAGACATTTTCTGCAGAGACTGTTCAAGTGCATGAAACACATGAGCATTGATGCCTGTCCTAAATGAAACAGTATTGAGGACAGACTGCAAGGATCGTCTGGATGGGAGTGGGAGTAGTGGGAGTTTTCAGTTTGCAGAGTAAACTCTCCTTATTCCGAATTTGTGCATATAATTTCCCTTTCCTCGGTGTCAATTCAGAAAGCGAAGCCAAATTAAGTTCTTTCAGCAAAGAACGCCTTGCTCTGGGCTTTGAGGAGGAACTTTGACAAGTATTAAGCCCGAGTGCTCCATCAGAAGCATATATATTTTCAGAGTCTAAGACATGGGAGGCTCCTTTCAATGAAGAAGTGTTGCCTGCTGTTGGTGATGATTGGATTGCAGACAATTGAAATGAAGTGGAAGGACTGTCTGCATGGAGAGGAACAGGTGCTACAGCAGAGGGCACAAGTGTCTTTGTGTAGGTTCTGGTCGGCGGTACGACATTAAGCTCACATTCAGGAGTTAGAGACCTGAAGGCAAGGGATCAAAGGAAGAGGTGTGTAATGAATGATCAGGAGATGCAGCATTCTAGCAGAATCAGTAGTACAGGATAACCCAACTCTTCCTGCCCATACCATAGCCCTGTAAGAGTATTACATATTGTCTCAAAAGCTTGAAATAATTCATCAGTAAACATTACAAACATGGTGTAGGTGCTACATTACATCATGTAATAAAACAGACACTCATTCATTTATTTACTTTCCATTAATCCTTATACGGCTGGAAGAACAGTGGATATAGTAATAGTCTAAGACAATAGAACAAGTCCCATCAATGATATAAATAAAAATTAATTATATTTAACCCATAACAATTACACATATTATCAAAGACAAATCACAGTGAGTAATCATTAACAAAGATTTAAAATATATTTTGTAACGTGTTTCGTTACTGAATACGCCGTAGAGATCTTTAATTGGTTTATTTGACAATCTACAAATAACGGCTACAATTAATTATAACACAGTTGTGGGGTTTCACATTTTATAACCCTAATCGCAATAATCTGTTTCCACTGTTGCGGGGTTTCACACTCTATAATCCTATGCGCAAATCAGTCCACTCTGTTCAGTAGTATACACGTTTACAGTAGGGGAGCTATGTATCACTGTATCACACACTCCAAATTAAACAATTACACACACGTCTGGTTCTTCTTTCCGCGACGGTTGCTATACTACAACACTAGTCTCCTCACTGGAGAACTGTTGATAACACACTTGCTAGTAGGCTTGCTCGGAACTATCTTCGGCGTTGGACACGTTACAACTGACTGGTAGCTGCTGTGCGGTTCCCTTATATATCCGCAGTGGTGCCTGTTGCGGGCCACGTCACAGTAGGAAGCAGTTCCGCGTCACCGTGGCGTCACAGCGCGTTGCGCGTTGCATAGTTACCAGGATGCGTGGACTCGGCTAACTTCGGCTCAGCTCGGCTCACTTCGGCTCCGCTCGTGACGTCACCGCGGGGAGAGTGTCGGGGTAATGACTCGCCTATTATGCGACCGCTAAGTTCCCGCTACGTGCCGCTGGGGAGGTATGGGTCAACATGTCACAATATGTGAAAGAATGCAGCACACTAATGACACAAGACTATAATAATGAAATATAAAAGTATACTACAAGGCATCCAGCATATAACGGATCAAGATAATTAATTAATATTGAGGTTAAATTATTCCTCCAATGAATAAAATAGACTTACCCTTTGGTACCTATCTTTCACATAGAATTTTATCAATGCATTGGCCTTACCAACTATTCCATAAAATTCTACTTTAGACAGAGAGATAGACAGACAGATATTGTCAGTGTCAAAAGTTTTCTTCAAATCACAGAAAATGCTGATGAACATTATTGGTATTGATGTTGTCTAGCTACTGTTTGAAATTAATTATTACAGGAACCTGTAGTCACATCATGATTATCAGTTAACTTCCCATCAATGTTTAAAAACTAACCTGCATTACTCATTTTTCTACCTGTGTCTGATTTTATAATGTTCCAGGTGGCTTTCATCAGAAATTAACTGATTATAATGAAGATTTTTAGCTCCTTTAATAACACTCGCCAAAATATTACAGTATGTTTTATAATAATATTTCAGATCTGGCTCATACCGTGCTTAATCTGTGGGAAAATTGAAGAATCTCGATCCAGTTTCTTCACTGGAAGACGTGCATGCTTCAGCAGAACAATTTTTTTCTTCCCATCAATACTGCAAGAAATAATAAAAAAATTGTAACAGAATGAAAGTACACTCTCACTTTCTTTAGATTCTACGGTAATTCTTTGGGCTACACCGAAAGACGCTTAAAATACAGAAATACGATTTGGATGGAGTATTGCAGTAACACTGGTTTCACGTTTGTTTCTAATTTCACTGGGCAGAGTAGGCATAATCCATATACATAAGTAACACACAGATGTAAATTCATGCGTAAATGTCGACCCTCGTTTCACAACATCAAATCAAAGTCCCTACATAGTAATTAATCTAATTAGTTGCACAACATACCTCAACAATGTACACACATTTTCGGAAACTACACAGTATTACTGAAACAACCGCCTAAAGCCTAAAACCGAAATTTAAGATCTTCTATTTGGCTGACATTTATGCGATTCGATTATTTGCGATAGGTGTATTATGACCGATTCCAGGCTTTTCCAGACCATCTAGTTCATGTAGCTGAACATAGATGGCTGTTCTGCATGTTTCCCTCTCCCCTATGGGAATTTCGCTACCCTGTTCGTGAATAATTGAAATACTTCTTTCAAGTAGTTCTAAATTTCACTGTTAGATTTCGCTAAGTGTGAATTTATTATTCCGTGTCCGGCTTGGACGCGATGTCGGAAGTGTTCTAAAGTTCTGTGGTGTAAAGTGTCGACAAAAAGTAATTCATGTTAGTGAAGTGGTGTTATTTCATTCTTCTCATTGTTCTCATTTGTGAAGAAAATGGACGTGTATCTTCGTGGAAGGGAGCGGAAAAGGAGGAAATCGATTCTTAAAAATGCCAAAAAGTATGCTAAAAAAGGAAAATGTGGCACGGGAAGCTACCTGAACGAAGACATATATCAGTATTATGTCCGTGTGTTGGAACTGCTCCACACAAATAACTTCGAAACAGAAGAGGAGAAAGGTAGGTAATATGTATAACTAGCTGTCGTGCAGTTCTTAAAAATATCGAATGTTTAGTGATGTTAAGACAAAGTACAGTATGGAAAAAACTTCACGTTGTATGTAAGAATGTATTTAGCTTTATGTTGTAAACACTTAGATTTTGGAGAAAAAAGTAGGGCAACGTGCTTGTTTCCTACAACTAGAAAACAGGAAGCTAAGAACTTTATGACCCCTCGATGGTAAAGAACTTAAGTAGGCGAAGTCATGTTACATGTATCTACTTTACACTTAATCTGGAGCAAGAAAACGAACTCTTGGACTGAGAAAACTCATGTCTTCCTAATAACGTCACATGTCAATGCCATGTATATAAACTTTGGTCCAGCAAATGCTAGGATAGTTCCTGTAAGTAGAGGGGAGGATGACTGGACAGGGCAGATATAGCTGATCTGCGTCTCAACGAGGGTAGTAGGACTTTGTCTGGGTCTTGGACCTGCTTTCTGTATCTTCTGTACCAAATGTGTCTTTGTACTTAGTAAAGTTAAATTGATTCACAGCATTCAAGAAGACTCAGATCTCTTTGCTTGCCAACATCTCGCACTATCCCAGAGACAAACAACAAAGGACTGTAATTATCACACACTACAAAAAACATCATATGGTGGCATCCACATAATGTCATCATCTGGTGGTGGCAGTGGGATAGGTGCAAATAAAATTGAGAATCAGTTGACTGGTTGTGAACCTGAAAGGCCAGAAGGACTTGAAGAAGCTGAGGCATATTCAAGCCTACTCTGAGGAGTCCACACTCTGGAGGTACCCCTGGCACCGGGTACCTGGGAGGAACAACGGCTGAGTTCAGTGGGATGAAGCTTCCATAAGCGGCCTTTGCTGAACCCAAGGGACAGCTGAGGTGACCAGCTGGAAGCAGCAGACATGAGAGGAGAATGGGGACACCCCGAGTGATCATCATCTTCAACGCTCTGAACTTTGCTATTCCTACCCCCCTTCACTCTTCAGTTTCACAGGTTAGTCCAATTCCATTATGGCAGATGACGATAGTGAATATATCTCTGTGGTTCAGGTACATTGATTTAAAAAACTTCTGTTGGAAGTCCTAAGCATTTACATGAATTCTGTGAAGAAGTTGAGGCAGCTAGGCAGGCTATACACTCGGAAGAATACCCACTCTTGTTAAAATCTGTTGAATTTAAAATCACTTGAGAAGCAAAAAGAGACTTTTGGCTGGAACAGAGAGGAACACCTGGGAACAAATCAGGGCCATTTTGGAAGAAAATTATGCCATAAAAAGAACACTTGCATATTACACATGTGTTATTCACAACAAAATGGAATAAAGGAACCATAGCCCAGTGGGGTTTGAGGATTGATAATATGGGGATAGACTGATAAGGGAAGCAAGAGCCAGAATTGAGAAAATAAACCCCCATGTTATAGAAGAAAGAGCTATTTTGGTTTCTGAATTCATGAAAGGCTCGTTTGTAAAGCTCATTTGTAGCAGGGTTAAGAGATGACAGAACTAACTACATCGTTAAAGCTAAGGAGGAAGAGAATGATTTAGCCCAAGTCATCTAAACAGCCTTGCAAGAGGAAAGCGAGGTAAAATCACAGAAATTTAGAAGGAAATCAAGGAAATTTGACTTGGCTGAACACAGGAAGTAATAGAAGTTTAAAGAAGTATTACAGACCCAATATAAAGTGGGAGGTGAATGTAGTGACCTCAGTAAGATGTTTTAGGTGTCAAGGTGCTGGACACTTGGCAAATAATTGTATGAATAGGCCTACATGTGCAATATGCCGCAAGGTGGGGCATGAAACTAAAGTCTGGAGAGCAAGGGGTTCTCGGGAAATGGGCAGTAGGGTGTCCTGAGCACCTGAGAATAGCCTGCCCATTAGGTTGCAATAGAAAGGATAAAGATCAAGGGGACACCTCTGGTTTTAAGGTCATCGCAGATGATCTTGTGGGAACCATAGAGAATGGTTCAAAGGGAATGATCTAAAGAATTTAAAGGGAATCATAGGAAATGATTCAGTGGGAATAGTAGGAAAGGGTTCAAGAGAAATCATCGAGGGTGATTTATAAGGTCACTGCGAGATATATGTAGTGAGAAAGCAACTGAACCGAGAGTTAAGGGTCACTCATAGAATCAGGATCACAGGTATCATTGGTGAAATAATCATCATTGATAACATACAGTCAGGAGAAGGACAAGAACCTTCAAATATATGGAATAACAGGGAAACAAGTGGAAATAATGGGTAAAGAAAATATAGATATTGAAAGCACATTAGAACCTTTGAGTCAAGTAAGCTATGTTGTAGACAGTCTTCCAAGGACTTCAGATATTATTTTGGAACAAAATTGCTTGTAATATCCCCATATAGTGAACAAGTTGTAAAGTGTAAAATGCTAGAGGAAAGAGTTCGTTTCATTGAGCATTAAATCCTGCAACTGGGATTAATCTGTGTATCCAGTTTAGCTAATTGTGAGACCTTTCAGTTTCCATGTTTAGTGATTAATTTAATTGATCAACTGATCTGTATGACGACACACCCTATATTTGAACCCCAATTTGAAAAACCACACATTATGATTCACAAACAAGAGTTTAGTAATCAGATGTATAAAATAAGAGATCAGAACTATTAAGTGAAAATTAAAGACTGGGACATGTTGTAGAAGGGACAGATGACATCAGGATAGTTTGTGAAGAGGATGTAGACATATTCAGATTACCAGGAGACTTGTTAATTGCTACAACAGCAGCAGATCACAGATTTCCAATCCCCACCATCCCTAAAGGTAGAGATGTTACATTAAACATTGCCAGAAATGTAAGAAGAGATAAAAGGACAGGCAACCCACATGCTAGAAGAGGACATAACACCCAGTAATAAAGAATGGAATATACCGCTAGTTGTCCCAAATAAATTTGATGTGTCAGGTAAATGAAAATGGAGAATTTGCATAGAATTAAGAAAAACTAAATGAGATTACAGTTGTCGACCGTCACCTGTTACCAAACATTCAGGGAGAGCTAGATATTTAATGCCATGGATTGTGCAAGTGGATATTTGAAGGTACCCACAGCCAAAGAAGATAGACATGAAACTCCTTTTAGCACAGCAGGCAGTCATTTTGAATATAAGAGATCAGCATTTGGTTTAAAGTTAGCTCCTAATACGTTTCAATATATGATGAACAATATTTTATATTAAATGGAAACGGGTGTTTAGTTTGCATGCATGGCATACTAATCATGGTAGAAACCTTGAGAAAACACGATTCAGAATTAGGAGATGTTCTTCAGAAACTCCATGAACTCAATTTAAAAACTGAACCAGACAAGTTCATATTTCTTAAAGATGAATTAAATTATTTAGGTCATGTAGTCACAACAGAAGGTGTTAGACCAGGTAATGAGAAGATCAAAGCTGTAGTTAAATTCCAACACCTCGGTTGCAGAAAGATATTAAATCATTTTTAGGTATTACAAAGCTGTAGCTGACTTCTCCGGTCTACAAACCCGAGATTAACGGCCATGGGAATCCGTTACACTGACCACACAACACCCTCTACCCGCAATAGTTGGCATTAACTTCGCCAACAAGTGGCGGTCGCTCGGTCGGTATCGTTTGCTTGTGGACTACAGGCCACAGAGTTGTGTTTGTTTATAGCTGACTTCAGTGTAATTCGCTAGACCTTTGTCAGACTTATTAAAGAAAGAACGTGAATGTAGTATTACAGAAAGAGGACATGTCGTGTCCCAAATTCGAGACTGAAAATCAAAAGACGTTGCTTAAATGTTCCAAGACTTGCGACAAACGTTTTACAGCACTTACATTAATATGTCAACACCTGGACAGGCAATCTAAGTTAAGAATGCCTGATTTAGCAGAATGCGCAATAGCCCTTCTGCAAGTTGCCTTGCAGGGACACTGGAATATAATATTATTGTGACATGTTGACCCCTACTTCCCCAGCTGCACGTAGAGGTAACGTAGCGCTCGCGTAATAGGCGAGCCATCACCCCGCCAATCTCCCCGCGGTGACGTCACGAGCGGAGCCGAAGTGAGCCGAGTCCCCGCATCCTGGTAGCTATGCAACGCGCAACGCGCGGTGACGAGACGGTGACGCGGGACCGCTTCCTACTGTGACGTGGCCCGCAACAGGCACCACTGCGGCTATATAAGAGAACTGCACAGCAGCTACGAGTCTGTTATACCGTGGCCATCAGCGAAGACATTTCCTAGTTATAAAGTAGCAGTCGCAGAGTTCAGTAGCAGCCGAGCGAGTGTGTTATCAACCGTTCTCCAGTCAGCCGACTACTGTTGGAGTACAGCAGCCGCCGCGGATAGAAGAACCGGACGTATGTGTGATTGTGTAATTGGGAGTGTGTGATACAGTGATACATAGCTCCCCTACTGTAAACGTGTAGACTACTGAAGACAGACTGAGCTGATTTGCGCATAGGGTTATAATCTTGAAACCCCGCAACAGTGTGAACAGATTAAGGCGATTAGGGTTATAAAGTGTGCCCCGCAACTGTGTGATAAGGAATTGTAGCCGTTACTTGTAGATTGTTAAATAAACCAATTAACGATCTCTACGGCGTCTTCAGTAACGCAATACGTTAAACTGGTGTCAGAAGTGTTACGAACTTAAACACGCCAAAAACAGATTGATGTGCATCGAATATTTTGCTTCTACAAAATGGAGATGCAGCAGATGATGGAAATGCTGCTCACGGAAATCAGAGCTGATCGAAAAAAACAGATATCATGCTAGCCAACCAGGCGAAATTAGAGGCCAACCAATTAAAAGCAGATGCCGACCGAGTGCAGATGCAAGAAAAAATGGAGGCAAGTAGGAAGAAAGACAAAGAAGATTTCTTGGCCAAATTAGACTCCTGTCAAGAAAAGGCGTCGGCCGATAGAAAAACCGACAAAGAAGAAATACTGGCTATTATGGAGGGCAAACGAGAGGAGAGGAGATTCGGCCAAGAAAAACTGCGAGAGAAAATCGAAACCGACAAGGAAGAAATGAAGGGAGAAATGCGATCTATGCGGTCAGAGTTGAATGAGACAATCCAACATAGAATTGAAACAAATTTTGCGGACCTTGAACACGATAAACCGACTCTCCAGTCAGAAATAACTCAGAAGGTTGAAGTGTCCCTCTGCGTGCGGACAGATAAACTCCAGGAAAACCTGACGAAAAACTTCAATGAAACCTGCGCAGAAATTGACGAAACCAAACGCGAATTCCAGGCCCGGTTGGACATAGTGCAAATGAAGGCCGAGCGGGGAAATACAGCAA